TATACTAGTAGCAGCAATTAACGTAAATATCTCTATCCATAGCAACAACTGGTATTAATACCCCATACCATAGCAACAACTGGTATTAATACCCCATACCATAGCAATAGGCATAAAATACTTCATCATATACTAGTAGCAGCAATTAACGTAAATATCTCTATCTATAGCAACAACTGGTATTAATACCCCATACCATAACAACAACTGGTATTAATACCCCATACCATAGCAACAACTGGTATTAATACCCCATATCATAGCAATAGGCATAAAATACTTCATCATATACTAGTAGCAGCAATTAACGTAAATATCTCTATCCATAGCAACAACTGGTATTAATACCCCATACCATAGCAACAACTGGTATTAATACCCCATACCATAGCAACAACTGGTATTAATACCCCATACCATAGCAATACCCCATACCATAGCAACAACTGGTATTAATACCCCATACCATAGCGACAACTGGTATTAATACCCTATACCATAGCGACAACTGGTATTAATACCCCATACCATAGCGACAACTGGTATTAATACCCCATACCATAGCGACAACTGGTATTAATACCCCATACCATAGCGACAACTGGTATTAATACCCCATACCATAGCGACAACTGGTATTAATACCCTATACCATAGCGATAACTGATATTAATACCCCATACTGTGGCAACAATTGGTATTAATACCCCATACCATAGCAACAATTGGTATTAATACCCCATACCATAGCAACAATTGATATTAATACCTCATACTGTGGCAACAACTGGTATTAATACCCCATACCATAGCGACAACTGGTATTAATACCCTATACCATAGCGACAACTGGTATTAATACCCTATACCATAGCGACAACTGGTATTAATACCCTATACCATAGCGACAACTATTATTAATACCCTATACCATAGCGATAACTGGTATTAATACCCCATACCATAGCAACAATTGGTATTCATACCCCATACCATAGCGACAATTGGTATTAATACCCCATACCATAGCAACAATTGGTATTAATACCCCATACCATAGCAACAATTGGTATTAATACCTCATACCATAGCAACAATTGGTATTAATACCCCATACCATAGCAACAATTGGTATTAATACCTCATACCATAGCAACAATTGGTATTAATACCTCATACCATAGCAACAATTGGTATTAATACCCCATACCATAGCAACAATTGGTATTAATACCCCATACTGTGGCAACAATTTGTATTAATACCCCATACTGTGGCAACAATTTGTATTAATACCC